ACTTGATAGCTATTTAGCATAATATTTGGTAATGCTTACGGCAGATAGTCAGATTAATCCCTACGAAACAACGTATCAACGTCAAGAAAAAATACCACCCCAAAAATTTGTAGACGCAAATACTAGGTGTATTATGTTAATATATATATATAACTTAATTAACGATTATTCGGTATCAACGGGATGGATGGCGCGAGAGTAGTATAATAATTATTATAGGGTACTTACACTGAATTATCTGCGTATTGTAAAAATTATATGGTGGAACTCATTTTGGCTCTTATAATATTTTCGTCCTGTTAAAATTTTTATACCAGAAATGAACGCGGTTTTAATCAATCTATGGCGTCTATTCATATCGATCGGGATTTATCTCCCGCACGTTTAGAGGACATTACGTGGTTGAGCGACGTCTTTGCAACCGTGCTGTTGATTAGATATGAACAGTATAATGTGGCCCAGAAAATAATTTTGTAATCGCTAAGAATATATATTTTCAGCACATGTTCGAGAAAACCGTTTTAAGGTCTTCGTGGCATATCAAACAGTGCAGCGAAAAAGAAATATTAATTTCTAATTGAAACTTTTGATTAACTATATGTTTTAAATGTATAGTTGTGTACGAGCTGTTTACGATAAAAGTATAAAACACATGTTATACGTTAAAGTTTGTACAGCGTGTATAGTGTATAGTATATACCTAAATTTTAAAATATTATTATATATCATGATATTAATAATAATTTAAGAGTGGTTGTCGGACATTTATCGATTTCATATAAATATTACACTACAATAATGTTTATTATTTTTAATAGCTAAACAGAATTTCATAATGTACTTGCGTTTTACATACCAATTTATATCAGTTACTGGTATATATTCGATTGTGATAACAATATTAGTGATTTAATAACGCGTTATGTATTACCTAAAACTTCGGTAAAGGTAAACAATTCATTTCACATTATTAAATTATTTTATGTACTATATTGATTTGATAATCACTCCGAATATATTTATATTTAATTAATAATATCGATTTTGAAGTTTATACACAATCGTTTATATGAGTAAAGGAGTAATACATACAGGTATGTGTTTTTAGGTTAATATAATGTCAACAAAAGAGTGCATTCAGTTAATATCATAATTTTTTTATCCGTCTTTGCGATTCGACTCCTGCGATCATTTAAAGCGATATATAACCGTTAAAAATAATAAATAACGAGGGAACTCGTGTGTGCTTAACGTTTAGACAAGTTCGTGTCTTCGCAAATGTACATAATAAAAAAGGTAGGCGGAAAAGTCATTCGTGATACTTTCACGCGCACGACATAATACGTATTTAAAGAAGAAGCTAAAATAATTTATCTCGATGTATAGAACAATAGAATACTCGTATATATATATATATATTAATCGTAAAAAAAAGTAGAGTAAAAGCATATAACGTGAAAATTTTACTATTTGGTATTAAATTGTAATGGAAAACTCGTCTGAAAACGGTATGAGCTATAAAATGATTTTGAATTAAAATTTTTAAAAATGACGTCGCAGAATATATAATATTATTGAGAAGTTTGAATAAATGCAGATAATTTGGGCATTAGTGATTGAAGTTGTACCGTTTACAATAAAACTTGAAAACTTTTGTACAATATGACGTAATTTGATTATTGCTCTAGTAAAACTTTTGAGTTTTTTATATTATAGTGACTTCAGTCGTTCGAAATACATTTTATTTTAATAATAATAATAATAAGAATAACGATGGGGGTATTGTTTATATTGTATTGTAGCCTTGTATACCGGTTACTTTATAAATGCTAATTAATTAATATTGTTTTTAATAATGATCTGCAGAAACCAATTGAATTTTTGAGATTTTAATTTAACGAGTAGAAGTAAAATCCTCTATAGTCATATTTTATGGTTGAGTTACCAACACCAAACACTATACCATGTCATATATATTTATATAGAACATAATATTACACCTATATAAGGATTGATTTATATTTATATTAACGAGGAATCCACGTCGTAATTCTGTGAAAACTGTCACGTCATGGTGTTCAATAACAGTTTTCATAGAAATTCAACAGAGACAAACAGAAATAGAATTTTCTATATAAATAAAAGAGAATTAAAATGAAAATAGGTTAATTTAAAAATGATTTTACCACCCCAAAGGTGGTGTATTGAACTTATGCAGCATATTATTTGTGTATATATCACGGTCACTTAACTAAAGGATTATGGTTTTTTTATCAAATGACGTCTCACATTTTCTTTACACGCCAAAGTTAAGCAACCATATATTATATTCATTTATATTATACACCCTCTAAAATATTGGAAAATAGCGTATGAAGTATTTTTAAACATAACATTATATTTGTGAGTCGTTCAAAATCAACTTAAAAACGAAAAAATTAAAAAAAAACTTCTCATCGTATTAAATTGTTGGCTTTTTATATTAAATTTATTTTATTACCTTGACAGTTTCGTGGTCTCTAGGTCACAGTTTCTCGATCCGTGAGTGAGCCAGCGTGCACCGTAAACGGTTCCGCAATTTCACCAAGTATTTAGTATACATCATCGAAGTTAGGTATATACACTTATAATATTCTCCCCGTTGCCTATGGAACCACGCGGTTAAAATAATATGACATACATTTCATACAAATCGGTTTGAACGTATTTTGGTGCATTGTTCGTCCATCATTTTGCATTATATATTTTATGCATGCATTTTTCCACTCATTTTCAGTGCGTTATATCAACCTTTATTCTAAATTATTATTCATATTAAATTGTTATTACATAGTGGAGGTACAAAGTGATCAAAAGATAATTGTGTTAGACGTTGTGGGAGCGATGATGGGAATAATATAAGTGATTTTCGGTAACGAAATTAATCGATAACACGCCTTTCCTCGGGTTTTAATAAAATAGGTCAGATTTTACAACCAAAAACAAAAGTATCGAGAGTACCTATATTTTCATCAAACCGTTTTCGTTCGTGACATCGTTTAATTAGCTAATCGGAGAAAAATAACGCACACCACACATAATTCGATACAGAGCAAGGTCTCGTATTCGTCAAGGCCGATGGAATGAAAATATCGAAAAGAGACTCTACTTAGTGAAACGATTACACTTGGTGTATTGTTTTCAAAACATGATTTTTGTCATAACAACTGCTAAGTTCGCATACGCACCTCCCCCTCAAAAAATTAAATTTTTTAAATTTTAAAAACTGCATATTTTAACTGTGTCATGCGTCTTCATAACACACTCAAGGCCCAATATACGAACGATCGAACTTTTCGAACCCATATTATCGTCACGTTCTGTGAAAATTGAATTGTTTTCAAAAACATTGACAAAGATAGAATGATAACAAAACGCGCGGAATATAGAAAACTGTATCGGTTTACATTACGCGAAAACATCGATAATGCATTGCTATAACCTTGACACTAAAAATCAAATCCGCATTGGTCAAACACTGTTGTTTTTGAGTTCTTAATGAATCTTTAAAATATATTATACATATTATATATTATTTTATGCTATGTATATTATTATACTAACATAAATATTCGTGTTTTATTATAATAGTAGTTATTACTAATGTGTGTTATATTGTGTGCCTATATATGTATATAATAGGTACAGTATCGCGGGTCGTATTGTTTGTATATATTTTTTCTGTTCGCACTCTCGAACCCATATAATAAGAGATAGACTATCTATATCAATGATAAAAATGTAAAAATTGTATAGCGATGGTGGTAATCAAGGTAATGTTCAAGGTAGAACTCGAGTTATCATCAAGGCGACCATTCCTTCCGCGTTGTTAAACCTTGTGAAACTCGCTTGGAGGTGGAGCGGAGGTATAGGTACGCGGTGCTTTTTTTTATGTACTCGAATAATATACATAGGTACACACACGTCCAAGTGCGTGACTCAAATATCTACTCTACGAGTATATATCAATTCGATTAATATTGTGCACCGAAAACTAGTTATGTTTACATCAATGACGTCATGGATCCTTTTTCTATCATTCAAATATCACGAAGCACACGAATCGTCCCCAAGGACATGGATATTTTGGAGACCACCTTGGGGTGCGAATTCGCTCATGAGTGTATAGTTGCCGCTAACAGTGTATATTCGTCTCACACACATATGTGCGTCTTAAGGTCTTGGACGGCGAGAGGTTCAAGGCACCCTCAGCACGAAGGCGAGCCGCGATCATAATACATGATATATATATATATATAAGACAACCGTTTTATGAGGGAAAATTATTATATAAGAATAATGGTTTACTGTATTCAAGGACAAATGCCGCCGTAAAATACTCATTTGTTTTTAGTTTTATAATCTACGCGCAAAAAACATCGAAACTTTAAACTTAACAAAAACAAAAAAAAAAAAAATAGTAAGAAAAACTATTTCTAAAACTTCCATATGACCAAGTCCATTCACGCATTATTCTTATCATAAACGCGTGCGCTTAAAGAAAACACATCATTGTCGTTATCAAACACCTTAATTAATGTTTGCACTAATAACTTGAACGTATTCATAAAATCGACTGAATGGTAGACACACATATACACACACACAACAAACACACAAATGTATACACTTATACTGTAATTATCTATATTTTCAAAGGTTATTGACACATCAGGGTTTACCGACACAACAACGAGATATTAAGAGATTATTACTACGTTTTCCAAAATTTTGAGCACTCGGTGGCACCGACATTTGTCAGTCCAAATCGTCACCGTTGCCACTTAGAAAAATGTTTCGATTAATTTGAAAATCATAGTTTACAAAATCGATCCAATTTAGCAATTAACTCTTGTCACTAAAAAATCAATAGTAATTTCGAATTTCAAATATCCACACCCTAACGGAGCTTCAACATACGCCGAGGGTTATCTTACAATAATATGAACGATCGAACTTACTCAGATAATAGATCCAGGTCAATGTGTGTAGAATCAGAGAACGTTATATCCAAACGGCGAGAGGGTCGTAAACCGTGCACAATTTAAAAAAAAAAAAAAAATAATAATATACAGGTAAAAATACAAAACAGCACTGCAGCGAAATTCAAAAGCACAGAAGAACGCACTTATAAATAATAATATAAAAATTAAATTAAAACACTATGGTAAATGTATGTTACGGCGATATGAAAATATATAATTTTAAATGAGAGTATATTAAGCGAGAAAATAAATTAACAATAATAATAATATAATATAATAATTAAACGGTTAACAATATTTCGTCGGAACCGTTCGAGTAGTCGATAAGCGGACGAGTGTTTAGTCGTAGTCGGACACGGCGCGCACACGGAGCGATCACTGTGATATGAAAACGCGGTCGCGCGGTGGCACGGCGGCGGCATGTCGTTAGCGACGGGGGAATCGACTGGTCGAGTGGGGCCGACGAAGGCCGGCAACGGACGAACAGCACTACCTTCTATTTATTTATTTTATTATTTTTCCGTTTCTCTCTACTCCTCCGCACGCTGACACACGTTTAATTCATTATTATTATCAATATTTTATTTTCGTTGTATACCGTCGTGCTTTTTCAATAACAAAATAAAAAAATAAAATAATAACAAAAATGCTCGCGTATATCCGCAACGAGAGCAGCGGAACATATTTTTCTTCTCTTCGTCTCTCTCTTTATACCTGTCCGGTTAATAATGACTTCCTACGTTTTTTACTACCTTTCGCGTCGATACCAAAACAATCTACGCCGGAGAAAAGTAACAAACGAACGACCCCGCCTATTGTAAATATTGTATTAATTTGGTGGTGGCTGCAAAGGGTGTCTGACTCTGTTGGAGCCTACGCATTTTTAATACATAAAAACTTGCCTTACAGAAAACACACTCTCACGTCTCATGAAATAATCAGATTTCTTTAATTTTTTTTTTTTTTTTAAATGATACTTCATATAGGTAGGTTACATTTGACTTCGATTTAAAATGGTCTGTTGTTGAGAATTGTAAAGAAATATGTCAAAATAATTAGATTTTTTTTTTTTAGTAATTTGGAATATATTTTCTAGCGTTAGTCGATTCAATAATCAGAGTTAAATGTGATCTAGATTTAATTTTACTCTTTAAAATATTCAAAATTCGACTATTCTACAAGACGTAAATGTAATTCGGATGGCTTGTTTTCGTATGACTACAGTGAATTATGATTAAAAAAATTTTCCATTTAATCATACAACCTGATCCAATACTCTCAAGTTTGGTTTAATATATCATAGAAACTTGTTTAACTTAATGTCCATTCTTTGCTTAAATTAGGAGCCCTATATGTTTTTTTGGCTAAAAACAAAAAATTTATTTAACTACAATAAAAACTATACTTATATTTAATATTAAGTTAAACCGAAAAATTATAATAATTTTATTATTATTTTAGTTTTTAAACTTGCCTTTAATATTATTTCATATTATCTATTTTAATGTTAAATATGCTTTTACATTTTGAAGAAGGCTAAATTAGTTAACATTATTATGACGTCTACACGAATCGCGAGATGCTGACCAACGTATATTATAATTTATAGTAACACGATGTATATATAATAATATGATTAGTAGACAAATTTAGCATAAACAGAATATACATATTATACAGTAGAATTCATTAATATAATCTATATTATATTTTTTTAATCCCCAATATCCTCACTAAACAACCAAAATAAAAAAGTATGTTACATAATGTTCAATATAATTCTTTAGGTAGCTTATAATGTAACGATTAATTAAAGTAATAATAATAATAATAATAATCTTGCAAATAAATATATATTTTTTTCCTCGATTCCATTGTGAAAAAGTGATGTACAAGTTTTTCTCACTTCATATTTCTAATCAAATCAAGTTCAACACATAATATCAAAAAAATTGACATTATCAATCAATTAATGATAATCTCAAGTAATATTTTTAGACAAAAAATAATATTTAACACTTGCATTTGAATGTTTAATATAAATATTTATATCTTTACTCCAAAGGTCTTCTACTCTTAAGCCCATGTGCCGATTCCGGCTGTTCGATATTTTTAAACCGGTTTTCCAAGTTGATTTGTTTTGAAAATAATATATTGGCTAATGAATATTTTTGTTTTTAATTTATTAACTTCTTACTAAAAATAAATTATAAAATAAAAATTGTTTCTTTTGGTATTATTCATAACAACTTAAAATAGTTGGACTTAAATAATATAATTATTATATACTAATACTAACTAATAATAAAAAAAAAAACTGCTGATCACGTCATGTTCGATAGCGTTATTAATGTTACAGGTTTGAACGTTAATAATACTATTATCTGACAAACGCTCAACTAAAAAAGTACATTGTAATATAGTAGGTACAATACCTGGTAGAGTACTATATTAGTTCATACTACTGTCTCATAAGGTAACGATATTTCTAAAAACGAAGCGAAGATTGTTTTATATAATAAAACAAATGATAATTTTTCTTCAATTGGGAAATACAATGACTTTAAATTGTATTAATATTATTTTTCATGATATAAATTGGAAGTAAAAATAAAAAAAAATAATATTAAAATAATTTAACATCATATTTCAATTTATAAATTCTTTTTAAAAATGTCATAGTATTATTAAACTGTCTAGAAAAACAATTATTATTTAATAAATAATTATTGTAACATCTAATAATTTTCGAATTGGTAGTTTAAATGTTCACGATCCTAAAAAGTTTCTGTCCTGGAGCAAACGCTTCTATGACACCTTTATTAATCTGGCCCTGAATATTATCGTTACAACACTTACAACTCAAATTTGTAATACCATCTGTGTATTATATAATTCATCGTTTAAACAAAATATTACACAAATAATAATGGCTTGTTTTAATAAAATATTTAAATATATGATAGCAATAACTATCTTATTATCATGAATTACAATATTTTATTGTTTTATACTTTTGTAGGTATAGGCGTTTAGTGCGTGGCGTTGGGTGGGAGCGAGTTAATCGCGTCCGGAGCCCTTGACATTGTCGTGCCTGAATTGCCTAATCGGAACGCCGGCCAAAGAATCTAACCTAACCTAACGACTAGTTAACGCACGCCATGGCATAGCTATTTTATTTATTATTAATTATTTATTATATTTAGATGTTATGTGATGTCCATTACTACTCAATTTTTATTACGTTTTATTCCTCATCGTTTTTTTCTTCCATTCAAATTTGTTTCATTATTTTGACTATTTCAACGAATATAATAGATATTATATTTTGTAGGTAATCATTATATTTTATTAATGACTCACGTACTACGTACTCTACAGCGTCCTATTTGTTGTTGAATAAAATTCCGAACCCTTTGCCACTCGAAATGCCCTTTTCGATCGGTTGATAATTATTATAAATTAATAAATAAATCATAGTCCGGTAATCACCATATCAAAATGTTTAATAAACCTACCTAGTATTTTTGTCCGATAACAGTAAGTAGTGAACAAAATTATTATAATCAATACATATACATAATATGATTGATAATTTTTGCGTTATCGTAAAACCAATTATACTTATATAAACATGATCATTAGACAAATTTATATATGTATTATATTACACAGAGTAGTGGAGTACAAACTGATAGTCTAGTGAAAATTTAAAAAAAAAAAAAAACAAAAAAAAACATCAGTTATAACTTTTTTTTATAATCATTGTTATTTTATTTTTTATCTGATTTTTCAAAATATTACTATATTGAATTAAATTATACTTATTATTTACTAATGTTTTTTTATTTTTTTTCGTATAATATGTGTGTTTAATTTTACAAAACAAACATTTAAAGATTAAAATTGCATTAATGAATATAGTGGTATATGTATCGCAAAAACTTAACGATTAAAAATAATTATACTAATTAGGAATAATTATAATTTCATAAATACGAGTCAAAATGTATTGTAAATTAATAATAATGATAATTATATTGGCATGAGGGTCACACTGTAGTAATTTGTTTAAAAATTCTAAGGATGTAGAATAATTTGTGTAATTGAATGTTCATACTATGAAATTAAAAATGTAATTTTTAGGCATTTTAAGTTCATATAAGTAGTCATATATATAAAAAATATTAAAATTTAGTATTTTTATTAGTTTTTTGATTTAAAAGTACCTTTTACTTTTACTGACGATAAAAATGTAGATTAATTCATTTAAAATAATAATAAAAACATTCAAATTATATATATATATATATTTATAAAATTTCTCATTACAGTATTTTATAATTAATTTTTATTTTATTTTCTTAAAATTATGTATTTTTATCTCATTGAATAATTAACTAAAATGTTATTCATGATATATTATGAAAATTTGGTATTACATTTATATTATGCATTTATGCGTAAAAAGGTAATTTTATAAATACTTGAAAATGTATTTTAATTATAAATTTCATAGTTAATAATCATACTTACAAATTGAATACCTACTTAATTTACTTATAAAAAAAAAAAATTCAAAATAAATTTGTATTTGTTTCTGTTATAATATATAAATTTATTTAATGCGAGGAATAATCATACAGAATATAATTTATCAAATTATTTTTTTCTGTTGTGTATTGAATCAAGCTAAATGAGACAATAACTATAAATAAGAAATTGTTTTTTTTTCGTAACTAATGCATAATGTGTTATTGAATATGATATTGAGTAATATTTAATAATGCATAGTGCATAATGCATTTTTCTAATTTATAGAGAAAAATTATTTAGAGTGGCGTTATTATAATTTTAATTTTTGAAAGGGTAGAATTGTAGGTAGATTATAAAACTAAACGTGATCCGAGTGTGAAAAAGTTTGTAAGTCGACTTATTCACCTTACAAGGAATTATTATAAAAGTACACAGCAGTGAATACAAATGTACATTCATTTGTATTTAATACATCAACATTATCTGTTTATATTATAATTTAGCCTTCGATTTATTAATTATACTGTATATAACATATTATAATATACTTTCTAATAGTTTAAAAATATTTCTATAAAAAAAAAAATGAAAATCAACAACGTTAGTTAATATGACAGGTTAGAAATGCAGAATTCTTAGTAATTTTTGTTGAATTCTATTATTTTCGTACTTTAATACAATTAATAGTAAAAATTAAATTTTTATAATTTTCTGGTAGTATGATATTAGTTTATAATTTATTTATAATGCGTCGATTTGGCAAATTCAATAAAATAATTTCAATTACAACATTATAATATACATAAAAAATATATAAAATATAGAAACCTA